ATATGAAATATGTATGCCCTTCAATAGAAAGGGTGGGAGTCACTGTTTGGTTAATGTTTGCAAATGGTTAATGTTCTTGACTGTTAAAAGACTAGAGGTTCAAGTTCAATCAGAGATATGTTGGAAGAAAGGTATGTTGGCACTCTGTTTCTGAAATCTGACCCACTGGAGCCCTCCTGGAACACAGCTCTCCTCTGGCATGCACGGGGTCCCCATGCCTTAGAGTGAATTCAGTGGCAACTGGTAAGAAACTGCTATTGTTGGTATTTCCAGAGAAAGCCTCTATTCTGTGCAGAAGCATTATAAACTCAAATATGGAGACAAATCATTTATATATACATATATAATCAGAAAGCGTCTTTTCCATTTTGTACAATTTACATAATTTACAAGTTTAGCTATTTTTTTATTTCCAAATTGGAATTTAAAAGAATACATTAATAATTTTTGTGTGTTGGCTGTAATGGCAAAGAAAAAGATCCTGAAATGTCCCGGTGATATTATAAAGGGAGGAACCAGAGCTAGTTACACACACATTTTAACCTCAAAATTGAAAAAGAATAATGTTTGTGTCTGCTTATGTATTACTCCTAGACGCTCTTTACTCCCAGTTCACACGTCTGGTTTTTGTTTGTTTGTTTTGTTTTGTTTTTCCCTCTTCTCCAAGTCTTAGCCTCAATGTCATCTTTTAAAGAGAAAATACTCCCGACGTATTCTGATTAGCAAAAATGCTCCCTTTTTAACTCTCCAACACCACCATGTTTATTTTCTCCATGTGTGACATAAGCAAAAATATGCAATTATTTTGTCTGTCTATTTTCTAACTCCTCTACAAGCAGGAAAATGCAATTGGACACGGATTCTCTAGACTGTGTCACTACTCCTCGCGTCATGCTTAATCCAGTGGCCTCAAGATGGACAGTGTGACTGAGGAGGACCTGATTCTCAGAGAAGGATGGACCATGGTGACATGAGTCATCTGAAACCTGGGGGAGTGGACCCTTTAGGGCCTTCATTTGATGATTGAGCACAACTCAAGGCAAGAAGAAACAGCTGCAAAAACCTGCAAATGATTGGAACTTGGAATATGCAACAAAGTATAAATCTAGGAAAATTGGAAATCATAACAAAGGAAATTGAACTTGTAAAGGTCAATGTCCTAGGTATCAGTGAACTGTAATGGCATGATATGGGTCATTTAGAACCATAAAATCATATAATGCTTTAATTTATACTGAGAATAACACAATTAAGAGGAATGGCATGGCATTCATTGTCCAAACAGACATTGCAAAAATCCTTTATGAATTACAATGCTGTCTCTGATAAGATTATATCTATCCATCTTCAAGGATATCCAAACAATACAACTATTATTCAAATTTATGCACCAACCACAAAAGCTAGTGGTGAAGAAATTGCAGAATTCGATCAATGACTTCAGTTGGAAATTCCTCCAACATGAAATCAATATGCATTAATAATTATTGATGATTTGAATCCAAAAGTTGGAAACAAACAGGAAGGAACAGTAATTTGAAAATATGGACTTGGTGAGAGAAATGTAGCTGGAGACTGTATAATAGAATTTTGCAAAACCAACAATTTTTTCATAGAAAATATTTTTTCTCAACAACACTAAAGACATACACATGAACTTCTCCAGCTGGAATACACAGAAATCAAATTGACTATATCTGTGGAAAAGACCATCGAGAAGCCCAATATTAGCTAAAAGCAGACCAGGAGCTGGTTATGGAACACCATTAATTGCTCATATGTAAAGTCAGGTTAAAGCTGAAGAATATTAGAAATTCCACAAGAAACAAAATATGGCTTGAGTCTATCCCACCTGAATTTTGAGACCATCTCAAGAACTGATTTGATGCACTGAACACTAATCACAATAGAGCTGATGAGCTGAGGGAGAATATCAAGAACATCATTCATGAAGAGAGCAGAAGGTCATTAAAAAGACAGGAAAGGAAGGACAGACCAAAGTGGATGCCAGATAGACTCTGAAAATTGCTCATCTTAGAATATCTAAAGTAAATGGAAGAATGAGGAAGTCCAAGAGCTGAACAGAAAACTTCAAAGGGCAGCTCAAGAAGACAAGACCAGTGCTCGCTTCGGCAGCACATATACTAAAATTGGAACGATACAGAGAAGATTAGCATGGCCCCTGCGCAAGGATGATACGCAAATTCGTGAAGCGTTCCATATTAAAAAAAAAAAAAAAGACAAGACCAAATATTATAATGAAATGTGTAAAGACATTTCACAGAAAACCAAAAGAGAAGAATACACTAAGCATATCTTAAACTGAAAGAACTCAAGAAAAATTTTAAGCCTCCAGTTGCAATATTGAAAGTTTCTATGAACAAAATATTAAACGATACAAGAAACTTCAAAAGAAGATGGAAAGAATACACAGTCACTGTACCAAAAAGAACTAGTCAACATTCAACCATATGAAGAGATCACATATGAGAAAGAACTAATGATACTGAGCAAAGAAGTCCAAGCTGCACTGAAAGCATTAGCCAAATATAAGGCTTGATGAATTAATGCTGTACCAATTGAAATGTTTCAACAAGCTGATGAAGCACTGAAAGCACTCACTCATCTATGCCAGGAAATTTGGGAGACAGGTATTTGCCTGTGGTAGTTACATAATCTGGTGTTAACTTAAAAAGGAGTGGGGTCTAGCCTGTCAATCAGGTTACAGCTTGATGAGCTCATTTGGAGGTGCTACAGAGCTAAATTGCTCACTGGAGACCAGATATAGACAGTCTCTCTGATTCATATTCCTGACAAGACACATGGAGTTACACTAGAGCCCTGGAGCTGGAGGAGCCAAATGAAGACCCATGCCAGCTCTGAGATGCTTACAGCACCACTGGGTCCACAAGACTTTACACTCACTAACCTGTGATTGTCCTGCATTCAGCATCATTGCACGTGTTTCCTGATTCTGAAGAGGACTTTTCAGATTGGTATCGGACATACAGGCTAATATTGGACTTATGAACTTGATCTGGACTAGACTGGGATTTTTTCTCAATATTCAATTCCGCATGTTGATAAAGTTCTTTCTTACATACATGCCAGTGTCTATGAATTTGTTTCTCGTCTAGCCAGACTAACACATTGGCCAACTGACTGGAAGAGATCCATAGTTGTACCAATTCCAAAGAAAGATGACCCCACAGAATGCTTAAGCTATAAAATAGTATCACTGATATCACATACCAGTAAAATTTTGCTGAAGATCATCCAACAATTGTTGTAGCAGCACACTGACAGGGCCAGAGGTTCCAGCCAGATTCAGAAAAGGATGTGGAATAATGGATATAATTGCTGATGTTAAATGAATCTTGGATGAAAGAAGAGAATATCAGAAAGATGTTTACTTGTGTTTTATTGACTATGCCAGGATATTTGATTATGTAGATCACAAGAAACTATGGATAACCTAGTGAAGAATGGAAATTCCAGAACACTGCATTGTGCTTGAGAAACTCATACATTGGTCAAGAGATGGTTGTGTGAACAGAACAAGGAAAGGTGCATGGTTTAAAATCAGGAAGGGTGTGCGACAAGGTTGTATTCTCTCACCATTCTTATTCAACCTGTATGCTCAGTAAATAATCAGAGAAAAGAAGAGTGCATGTGACGAAGAGTGCAGTATCGGGTTTGCCGTGAGGCTTATTAACAACCTGCGATATGCAGATGAAACAATCTTGCTTACTGAGAACTTGAACCACTTGCTGATGAAGATCAAGGATTGCAGCCTTTGATATGGATTACAATTCAGTGTACAGAAGACAAAAATCCTCCCCACTAGGCCAATAGGTGACATCATGATAAATGGAGAAAAGATTGAAGTTGTCAAGGATTTTGTCTGGCTTAAATCCAGTCAGTGCTCATGGAAAGAGCAGTCAAGTGATCAAAAGACCTGTTGCAAAAATGTTACTTTGACGACTAAGGTATGCCTAACCCAAGCCACAGTATTTTCAGTTGCCTCGTGTACATGGGAAAGTTGGACATTGAATAGAGAGACTGGAGAAGAATCTATTCATTTGAACGGTGATGCTGAAAAAGAGTATTGAGAGTAGCGTGGACTCCTAAAAAGAGAAACCCTTCTGTCTTAGAGGAAGTATGGACAGAGTGCTTATTGGAGGCAAGGACACTGAGACTTTGGAGAACAGTCTTAGGAAAAGGACATCACTATTGGTCAAGTGGAGGGGCAGTGGAGGAGAGGATTGCGCTCAAGGAAATGGATTGACACCGTGGCTGCGATAACGGGCTTACGCACATGAGCCGTTGTGCTGATGGCCCAGGACCAGGCAATATTTCATTTTGTTGTGCATAAGGTTGCTCTGGATTAGAGCCAACTAGATGGCAACTAACTAACAATAGTTTTCTACATATACACCAGGAAGTACATTGAGGGGGCATTATGAACTAGGAACAAATTTCACAGAAACGGTCATGAGTATACCTTAGGGAGGGGTTATGAATCTCAACAGAATATGGTTTTTCAGGCCCCTCACTTTCCAATGTCTTCAAGTTGGTCTGGTGATGTCTTTCCAGTGACTTTTAGTTCCTTGAACAAAGTATTTTGTTGTGAGGTGACCTAAGGTCCTCTGTGCATGTTCAGCTGGTCAGGTCTGGTCATCAGCAGCACTCCCTTACTGTGATGGGACATTTCCCCTGGAGGAACAAGGACAGAAAAAAGAGGCAGCTTATCAGGAAGGTAAGTATAGGTTAATTATAGGCAATGTATAAGGTGGTTCTGCTATTCTGTGACAGCATCTCATCATAGTCTAAGGGTGGTTTTCCCTGTGACAAGGACAGGGAAAACCACCTGACCAGTCTAAAGGATGAGTCACCACATACCAGAAACATGGACGCTTCCAGCCTGACCACCTAGGACCCTGACAAATAAGGACACAGTTGGGTCCCAGCCAAAGAGGAGCACTTTTTTCCTCTTTGAAAATCTCTGGTCCTGAACTCCAAGGTCAGTGTCAGACATACAAGAAGGACCTTCCAGGTCTGAGGGGAGTCTCACTAGTTTCGCCCTTTCAGTAGTGTAGACCGTTCAGGGGCCTGTCCCCAGTGGATCTTACTTTACTGCTCAATAAACCTGCTTCGCCACCTCCTGCTACCTGCCTGTTCAGTCTCTGTATTGTCACCACGCCACCACTCCTTTCAAGAAGCCTGTGGTGTGGGGATCCACCCAGAAAGCAGGTCACGCACGCACCTTACCCTCACACTTGGGCAAGCTGTGGAATTTATGATGTTATACCAAGCCAAGCATGTTTGGAGGGGTCTTGGTACACGACAGCAGTCTTCTTGTGATGAGATAAAGATCATTGAACATTGATTGCATGTCAATTTACCATTTTGATGCAAATACACCTATATGTTTAGAAACCATTTTAAAAGTACAATGGAATTAGACTGTCTTCCATCCTGCTTCCTGCTTCGATGGGTTTTCTTGTTATTGCTGTATCAGTAGCCCTCTTCTCCTTGCATTTTGCTTCCATTCCTCCTGGAGATACACACCCATCTGAGGCCGGGAAACCTGCTGCCTTTGTGAAATAAATGCACAGGATGGCCCCTACTGGAGAGCCTTAGAAGGAAAAAATGTAACTGTGTGCTGCCTGGGTTTTTTCATCTTTTTCACATTTTTGTATTCCTTGAGAGGTTCTCACTTAGCTAAAAAAAAAGGAATCGTTTTCAAAGGTGCAAGGGAGCTTACCCTAAAATAGATTGCCTATATTGTCATTGACCTTTGTGTAAAAGCATGCATTCATAGTAATTCGGCTCAATCAAATTTCCCCAGCAGACATATTCACACAATTTTAACACCAAAATTAAAGTTTCAAAATGTACGTTTCAGTAACTCTCCAAAAGCCAAAAATTCAATCTCCACGTTCAATCGCTCAAGCCATTATTGTTTTTCAATACAATGAGAGTTAATCGTGCACTTTCTGTCTTTGTGAATCACAAAAGGTATTTGGGGCTGAAAGAAAGGAGCGATTCTCACTCTTTTGTTCTCTGAGGTGTTATGTGATTATCTTGCAACAAGCAATTACTAAGCACACTTAATCAACTGCAAAACTATGTAACACTATCATGGTAACATTCTAGAAAAGGCTCAATTAATACTTACAATTTCCAATTTTTCTCTTCTAATATTCTATTCTTTACTTTAACAAGAAGGAACTCTACATAGCTCCCAAAGAAAACTGCAATAATTATGAACAATTAAGTGAACTGTGTTCCATTCCTTAAAATACCATAACACATACATAATTTGTTTATTACGTGAAAAGAATTAATTAACCAACTCATAAGGAAGTATTATTAAAGGAAAAATTAATATGGCATATGCTGGCAAATTCTGGATTCTTTAATGCCTTTTACATTGTGATATAGTCATTAGGTAATTGTTGAAATTAAGCAAACTTCAGACTGTCAATCTCTAAAAGCATCCAAAAAGTTAATCAACAAAGGTTGTTTACTTACATATGAAATAAATTTAAATAAACACAGATGCTATTTTATCAGCTATAAATTAAAACACATGTAATTTCTGATCCCTCAGAGGCAAAAAAACAATATTCCTATTACATTTAAATGTAATTCAAATCTTGTAAATGACAAGGCCGCTAGGCTTTGGCTCAATGGACTTGGGTCAAAAACCAGGATGAGAACTCCCAATCAACAAGAAGGGCAATGTTACCTCTCTCCCTCTCATGGGAGAGATAGACCTCGGTCCTTGGTATATCTGGCCCTTGGTAAGCCTGGTGTGTGATCGAAGTGAGTTTATAGAGGATAGGAGCGGCACAAATGTGTGGGACCGAGGCCCGACTTGGGCCACAGCGCGGCTGTGCTGAACTGTGTGTCGGAGCTGCTGGGAGAGAGCACCTGAGCAAAACCTATGACTTTTCAGGGGCCCCTTGGGAGGCGTGGTCGAAGATACTGGTCGACCTCATTGGTTGAATCAAATTCACCTGGCATAGATGGGCCAATCCAGGTGTAATACCCACCTAGGTGTACCACCCATTCCTGGCCTAACAGGTAATAATTTTCTTGTTTCTCTTATTGTCTTTCACCATCATTGGCTCTCTTAAATGTTCTATTTTCTCAGGGCAAGTATTTGCTGCTTACTGCAGGATATCCCTATATAAGGTATGATCCACCAGCTTTTAAACAATTGCAAAATCATGTTGATACTCCCATGATTTCTAAGTGGCAGTCTCATTCCCCAAACAGTATACTTTTACTATTAATTGTAATATTCAGTATTTATTGGTTACATTTCAAATGTTGGGAGTTCTGCTAAGCACTTTACACACATTATTTCACTCCTTTGGGAAATTCATTCAAATGTATGCACCTTAATTTCCTTCTATGTGAAACAAGAACTGATTACTATGGAAGTTAAATAGTAATAATAAAGAAGAGTCGGGATTCAAATAGATGTCTTTCGGTAGGTCCTATGCTCAAGTTAGAATTCAACTTTACCTTAATTCTTAACATTTTCATCAACTTTGGGTAAGTCGCCTGCCAGTTTTCATAGCTGCATAAGAGAGAATGATATTCACTCTCTAGGAATACCGAGGTGGATCACAATATGGTTCATCTAACTCATCCTCGGTGTTTCGTGTATTTTAACTACTCTAATAAAGACCTAACGTACTAGTGTCATGACTATAGTCAGCGAAATAAGTGGGGCACGTGACACATCAAGTATGTGTCCTAGACTCAATAGTACACAACAAAATGTGTGAAGTCACCACTACCTTGCCCACAGTGGGCTATAAAAATATGTTCAACACAGCCACTGGCCAATTATGGGGGACTGAGGGCAACTGTTGTCTGTCACCGAGCATCCTTGTGAGAACCGGGCTAGCACTAAGCAGAGTGGGAGTGTTAGGGCTCTCAGGGGGAGAGATATACCTTGGTCCTTGGCTCTGCATGAGAAAGAATTCACTCCGAAGCCTGGTTTGTGATCCAAGTGAGTTTTGTGAGCGTTAGAAGAAGTTTCAGGTTTCCACAGGCACCCACAGGGCTCCTTCCGAACGTAGTTTGCCTGGAAACTGCTCCCAGAGTCACGCAGTCTCCCGTCGACGCTGCGCTCCTGCCTTTTCAAGGATTCCGCGGGGAGGCGTGGTGGACGACCCCTGGTCGACCCCATTGGCTGAATTGAATTCACCTGGCCTAGGGGGGCCAATCCAGGTGCAGCGCCCACCCATGCGTACCGGCAGCGGCGGGAAACCTGAATCTCTGAGCATGTGCAGTGTGCCACTCCTTTGTTTCGGTAGCTCGGACCTCTGGGCATGCGTAAAAGACGCCCCAGTGCCTATGCGAGTCTACCTAACAGGATGGGCAATGGGGAGCGGAGCCTAATCTCCCCAAATCCATCCTCTCTACTCTTGTTTCCATAATGATAGGCGTGACTGCGTTACGATTTTCGGGAGGGCCATACCTCAGTTCTTGGCTTCTTACGAGAAAGAATTCACGGGAAACCTGGTTTGTAATCCAAGTGGGGTTTTGTAAGGGACAGGAGAAGTTGCAGGTTTGACAGTCCCAAAAGAGTACACGCTGTTACGGGGAAGTGTGCCAAAGGACCAGGAAGCCGGGCTGGGGCCCACAACTGAACACCGGCATCCTCGTGGGACAGCGCACCCACACGTGGTGACCTGAGGCCAGAGAGACCCCGGCATGACCGAGCAGGCGCAGGAGCGGAGTAAAAGAAACAGACCACTTTCCCGCAGACAGGATATTTTAAACCTTGGGCTGGGGAGACGTGGTGGAAGGTGTTGGTCCACCCCATTGACTGAATTAAGTCCACCTGGGTGGGGTCATAACTCTGGGCCTAGTTTACCTGGCTGGGGGTGGCGGGGCCTGAATTGGAGCATGCCCAGTTAATTTCTTCATAGGTGTTTAATGCTCGCCTGCTTTCTTCCCGACCTCCTTTCTGGGGGCCTGAGCAGGCACGGGAGGGACAATCCCTGTCCCTGTCCTGGCTGCCGAGCCACTTGAAGAGTCAACCTGCTATTACTTTACGATTGAACTAGAACATCGTTTGGAAGAATTATAGTTTGTCCAAACAAAGCTCAACTAGAAGTCCTTCAGAGCTGTGACCCTAACTTGAGTCCCTCTAGCCTGTCTTACAAGAACCCTGTGGTTGCGTACAGGCAAGAATTCTCTAGACGGGCTAAGTCAAAGATCCCGTTCTTATTTGAGTGTTAATCTTCCCGGGCTCTCTTCCCCTTCTCATTAGGCGCCAGCCCCTGCATACCCTTCATGCTTCCTTGAGATCGAGAGCCTCTAGAATTGGGAAGATCTCTAATATACAATCTTTGTTAAAACAAAACTTTCTTTTCCCAGTTTGTGTCTTTCATTCCAAGATGCTTGTCTGAAAAAAATAATAATAAAGTGCTTCACTGAGCCTGTAGATAAGCTGAGAGCACAAAGAAAGGGGGAAGCAGTCATTAGAGGAAAGATCCCGGCCACGTTCAAAATCTTTTTAATCCAGTAGATTCCTGTAATCTGGCAACAATGACCGGGCAATAGAGACCAACCCAACAATAATAGCAAGGATTTCAAATAAGTAGAGAGAGACTACCTCACTGTGTGGTGTAGATTCTAACTCAGAGTGACCCATAAGGCAGAGAAGAGCTGCCCCATAGGGTTCTCAAGGCTTGGATCTTTATAGAAGTGGATGGCACATCTTTCTCCTGCAGAGCGCTAGCGGGTTCAGACCATTGACAGACATGTTAGTTAGCAGTGAGCACTTTAACCACTAGGCTCCTAAAGCTTCTCGATAGAGACTTTCACTATTATCAATGCAGACGAGAAGAAAATAAATGAATCTGAGACCCTTACATTAGTCAGACAATCACTAAGGTCCTTCAAAGGAGCCCTGGACATTGTATTAGAGTTCGAATTCTGAAGACCACATTTGCAGAAGGCGATGGATGGCGACAATGAAAGCTCAAAATCCATCTTCAGACTCCCCAGGTGGATGAAGCCTCCATTGAATTCCTTCAGCTCCTTAACCAAGGGTGTGTGAAGATGGTCTCGCCCTCTGGCAAAGTACATTGGATTACCTCCATCCCTCTCCAGCAAGCTCAGGGAGGGGTAGTTTCTCTCCAGGGCTTGCCTGGGTATGTCCTTGGTGGAAATCACCATACTGCAGTTGGAGAGTTGTAAGTCATGCCCTATCAGTTGAACTTGACTACTTCATTTGGAAGGTCCTGGACCAATCTTATAAGCTCCTCTATCAAATGTAATGTACGTGTCCCAATCATGGACCTGTGGCAGTTTCACTTGTCCCATCTGTAGCAGTAATGTATTGATCTGCCACCATTCATGAATGTGTGATAGTGTTCTTTGTTCCCTGATGTATTCAACTAACTAGTATCCTGACTATAAATCCTCAATTGCCATTATGATCTTGGGCTAATAACTTCCCTTAATAAATGTTCTCCTTAAATTATATTTAAGACTGGGGTCTCTTTTGTACCCTAAAACATAGTGCAATTGATTCAGCTTTTGACTGCTAATGAAAAGGTGGACAGTTCACACCTAGCAATTGCTTGGCAGATAAAAGGTGTAGAAGTCTGCATCTGTAAAGACTGAGAGCCTCAGCAACCCTCAGGAGCAGTTCTACTTTGTCCTAGAGGGTTGCTCTGAGTGGAGTCCGTTTGAACTGCAGTGGGTCAGGTCTTTAAATCAACCAATTGTGCATGGCTTTGGATGGATGGCAGGTCCGATCCCAGGGGCCTCTCATAGTGCCCCATACCAAAGCCTGGCTTGACCCCATGGGCTTCAGGCACTCAAGCGGGTTGCACAGTGGGTAGGGAAAAAAATCAGCCAATGAACTCAGCAGCTTAGTGACAAAATAGGCCTTAAATTTAGACCGTTTAACATGCACTTTTAGTGTTTGGAAGGAGCTCTGGCAAAGCAGTGCTTAAGGTACTCACCTGCAACTGCTAACCAAAAGTTGACAATGGGAACCCACTAGCTGCTTCCTGGGAGAAAGATGTGCCATTCTGATTCTGTAAAGATCACAGGCCAGGAAAGCATGGAGTAGTTCTATTCTGTCCTATAGGGTCAGTGTGAGGCCGAACTGACTTAAAGACAATGTTTTTGTTGGTTCATGTTTGTTATACAGGACCACAATGGTGTTCATGTTTCCGACATAAGCTACTGGACAAATCAATTAAGTCATGAAAATAGTCAAATATATTTTGGGATATTTTTCTAAATAAATTCATATAAAATATTTCTCTCAGTGGCGTATTGCATCATGACAATATTTAGTTTGGCATGTAAACTCAATTTTAGTATATTTCCATTAAGGGAGATCTCATTTTCTGAATTGTGTTGACTAGAACTCTCCTGTGGAGTCAGTCTTGTCAGTCGGTTTATTAGTTAATTAAGTGCCATTTTCTACCTTATAGTCTAAATTCCAGGCACCCAAAAGAGCTCCCTCTAAGACTCCCCTCTCTATCAGGTATCTGCATAATTAGTCTCATTTTAGAATCCCTATTATTCAATGCACAATAGAACAGAACAATTAATTTGGACCACACGCAATTATGCTGAAAGGTCAGGTGCTAACCATAATAAAACTCTGTTCAAAAGTGTGTTTGGGGAGAGCATTAATATGGTTATCTAGGAGAGTTTTTAGGGGCAGAAAATCTCCAAATGCAATTAAATGGGCTGTAAAGTAATCACTTGCAATTTTTCATTTTTAAAGCAAGGAGACTTTTTGAATGGTGTGCAAAATGAATACTTCTAAGACTAATCAAATTTGGGAGTTTTAAATCAAGAGGTGACAAATTCATACCCTAAAGCAGACAGCACATTATTTGGCCTGCAAGTTCCTCTGTGAATTTGAAGTTATCAAGAGTGTTCATGGGCCAGTTGTTACAAACCCCTCAAATATAGTTAATAATGAAAGTGCTGGCTCTTTCCATTTTGGTAATTTGAACTAGATAGCCATAAAAATTACAGTTGAAAATATGAGTATGTGGATTATAAAGTATCCCCAGTATCCAAATGCCCATGAATTTATAATTTTGTGTTCTTCAACAATATTGTGTTTGCCTGATAAATGCAAATTTTTGAAGTAGATTTTACTCTGGAGAAGGTTAAAAAGATACCTAAGTCACTGTTAAAGGAGTATGTAATTTTAATAGCTCTAGGCAGCTTTATAAAATGCTCAAGGTTTCTTTCATGTGGGGAGGTTTTTGCTGATGAAATAAAAATTACAGAGGGACAAACAGGCAGAGAGTATAATAACAATTTACAACAAAGCTCTTTTCTCTGTACTAACTAAATAGAATATGCATCTAGACACAAACAACAGTTTAAGAATTTTAAGAATATATCAGAAAAGCATTTACAACATGAGTAATGACGCTCTCACTACTAATTTGTTTCATGACAACAATGGCAAGACAGTGGATCTAGAATTCTTATAGAATTCATTCAAGAATTGCACATCCATTAGACAAATACCTAGTATGTGATGTCATGGTGGCTGTTGCTATTGTTAGGTGCCATCAAGTAGGTTCTGACTATAGTGACTCTGTTCTATGCACAGCGGAACAAGCAATGCTGGTCCCGCTTCATCATGCTTGAGCCCACTGTTGTAGACATGGTGTCAATCCATCTCCTTGCTATACTTCCTCCTTTTCACTGAGCCTCCATTATGCAAGCATGATATGTTTTTCCAGGGAATGGAATCTCCTAAGAACATGTCCAAAGTATGTGACATTAAGTCTCAACATCCTCATTGTTGTTGGTGGTGTTAAGTGGAGAGAGTTCCAACTCTTGGTGATCCTGTGCACAACAGAATGAAAAACTGCACCATGCTAAACATGCCCATATTGGGAACCACTGTCAATCCATTCTGCGAAGGCTCTTCCTCTTTCCCTTTGTCTCTCTACCTTACCAAGAACGATGTTCTTCTCCTTCTCCTGATA